ATCATAAATTCTGCAGCAGTCCTGCCAAAATTGGTTCCTCCATGATACTGATAGTGAAGCCAAGAAAGATTTGAGAGTCCAATGAAATATTAGCTCTATTTTTTAGTTACTAATATTATAGGCCACTTGGCATTTCAGGAGTATCTTCCCACTATAAAAAACCTAATTTCCCTCTAAAATAGACGAAAATATAAATAAAATAAGATAAGATGGAATACTTAATTAGCATTACAGGGTATTGTTGAATTTACCATGTAATAGTTTATGTACGTTCCATTCTTCCTTGCGATGAACAGAGCAACTTGAAAGGCAATGTCTTGTGCTGATCTAAGTGTTACATTCTGACCATACACTTGGTAGCTACAAATAAAAATATAAAATAAGAAACTTAATTAATTTCAGCAAGTGTTAGTTATGACTTATGAATAAAAATTCTGAAAGCAGAGTCCTTATTTTGTAGAGTTGGATAATGAAGTCTCACAAGCTTGTCCAGTTCTCTGTCCAGAGTGACGGCTTATTTGGTGAATTTGGCCCTTTAAATGTTTCTCCACATTTCATTCCATTGCATGTGTTAATCTGTAGAGAACATAGTTAATTTTAGTGCTCCAAACACGTGAACCAATTCTAGGAATTAAATTAATGTAGCAAAAATATGTCATTACTACTTAAAACATCTTTTCCTGATTTAATAGCAGTATAGTAGTCCAGCTTGATAAGAAAGAGTGAAGAAAGATCAGAGACAGGGTAACGGCTAAGACTATAACTAAAATATGAGTTTAACTTCCATGTACTTTTTTTTTAAAAAGAGTATAATATAAGCCAAGAGTTCTTCACACTATCAAGTTACCCCAAAGGATATAATTATTTTTACACTGACAATACATATAACTTAAATAATTTTTTTTCATTATATATCAGGTCACATAAAGCATATTACATGTACTATGAAAAATAAAGTAATTTATATGCGTTAAAATATATTGATGATTTGAAGTATTTACACTTACAATAGGATCAGGAGCATCATCTTGTTTACACATGATCCATGGCACACCAGTCTGAAGTTCCACAGCCATCTTTACTGTCCAACGAACATAAGGGGGCCCATCTTCTCTGAATGCTTTTTCTATATTTTGATATTCGTTCTCAATCTACACAGTTTAATTAATTAAGCGCATCTCCATCATTCTAAAAAGAAATAAGCAAATTGAAATAAAAGAAAGATTAAGACCACCTTACTTAGAAGAAATTAAAAGGTTGAAACCAGTTTACACGCACAAAAGGAGTTCTGTAGATATATTTGGAATTGACAAAGAAATATACCAGATTTGATGAAATTTAAAAGATAAAAAATCACTTTAACTGAAGCATGCAAGAAATTATCAATTGTGTACCAACAAAAATTAAAAATATTAGAAGTGTACCATGTATAAAGATTTTAAAATTATTATATATGGTATCCAACCTGTGATAGTATGATTGGACCTCCTTGTGAGGCATATAACCCTTCCGACTTCATCAAGTTCACTATTTTTGTGGTAAAGTTTTGCATGTATAACTGTCATGTAAAAGAGAATATAATTAAGTTAATGTTCCTACCAATTCAAACAATATATCAAAGTGGTCTAATTGAGAATTCAACGGATAAAATTATTATTCTGCATTTTAGAGGTGTAAAGATATATTCGATACAAATCAAAAGTTTTATCTGAAGAAAAATGGATTATTACCTTAAACGGTTCATTGTCAGATCGATAAACAATGCCAGGGACATCATGTAACCAAAACGGGAAACCCCTGTAAAATTCAACAAGGGATTAAAAAAAAACCTTTGGGGTGAAAGAGAAATTATAGTCAAATTTAAATATTACTCCTATTTATATTTTTACCCATAAGTCCATTCACCCTCAATATAGGGCCCAATACGAAGGCAAGCGTATAGACCTTGTGCTTGAATTTCCTTGATGAATGCTACTATGTCACGTCTTCCACTAAAATCATACTGACATCACATTGAAAATAAGAAATCAGTATACGAGAAAAACTCTACTCTGAATTCAAGGGTATTTTTGGTATATGACGAAATAAGTACGCTATTATTTTCAGTTTAGGAATATAAGTAAACTTCATTTGAGAAGGAAAAAAAAGCACTAAAATTTGGGAGATAGAAAGAGTGTGTATTCAATAAAATACCTGTCCAGGACGAGGCTCATGGAGATTCCAAAAAACATAGGTCTCAATCACATCTATTCCACCTTGTTTTGCTTTTGATATTAGAGATGGCCACATCTATCATAAAGAACAAGCAAAAATAGAGTGATCATTTTGCAAGTTCACGCGAGAGCAAGTAATATGAACGTCATACAAATTAAAAGTTCATGCGGGAGCAAGTAATATGAAGTTAAAAGCAAAAATAGTCCTCATACAATATAATGAGGAAAATCATTAATTCCCTTCTAATCATGAAAGATATGTATTTAGATAATAACTTTCATCGTATGATATACACATTAGTTACCCTTCTTTCAAAATTGCATCATATAAAGTTAAATCCAAAAATGACTAAAGCAGGAGAGTTTAAAACGAGGGTCGTTGCTTAAACGAAGCTATTGAAAATAGGTGGACAAAGTCATTTTTCTTTCTTTTATTTCATAAAAATATTTATTTTTTATCGTTTCACTCAAAAGTCACTCAATCCGAAAAGTAATAATCAGTTATTTCAAATTTTTATATAAAAGAAAAAAAATGACGATGTTCACCTATATTCAATAATTTAATAACCATTTAAGTAATAAACTTTCAAAAACGGGCTAATTAAAGATCGTTAGCTCGTGGATGGTTGTTGGACAATTCTTTTTCTTTGGATTCTTTTCATAAAAGTGGCAAATCCAGCAACCAAACAAACAAAAGAGGAAAAGGAAATAACAATATTGACGGCGATAGTTATAACTTATTATATACATGAAAATCTTGTTAGGAAAAATTATGGTTGTTAGTAGGGAAAGGGACAATTATATCATCCTACGTTTGGCTTTTTGCATTGACAAAGTTCTTTGATTTTCGTGCTTTTCCTTCAGACCTTTCTCTACTAATCTTTTAGCCATCTTGATTTCTATATATTTTTAGAAGTACACTTCAAATAATTAGTTTCTAAATGTAAGTTACACTCTGAAAGATCAAATAGTTGATGTTACATTTTAGATTGAAATTACTAATTCGTTCCATCCTGGTATTCTAAATTAATGGTGTTATTGGTTAATTTAAGAGACTAGGTAATAATTAAATCTATTTAAACTTACAAAATTTTCTTTAAATCCTTTTTAATTTAATTGTTTTCTCTACTTATAAGATGTTAAATAATAAAACCATTTGACAAGTTCTAGAATACGATGTCCTTTAATGTTTTCCTTGGAGATATCTCCAAAGCATTTGAAATTCAAATGTCGCAACCAAAGTTTCAAAAATAGATTCTTTAATAGTAATCGGTTGAGTCTCTTTCAAAGAATCCCTATGATATTTACTATCACATTGACAAATGAATTCTTCCAAGAATCTAAAGATCTCTTAGAAGAAATATAAAAGGACCTTTACACACACACACGAAATGCTAGCGAGTTCTACCTTATCCCTTTTTCTACGCTTTTACACATATCGTCCTTTTTCCTATTATCAATCCAATGCCATAGTTAATGAGTTTAAGTTCTACGAGTTTTTGGACACGCATGTCGCAGGTGTACTCTTTATTAACAAGTACATAACATTTAAAATTCACATAAAAAAATATGTTTGAGTTATCAAATAAAACTTAATAATAACATACAAAATTTTTAAATGATGAATAATGATCTCGTTTGGCTAACTTACTTGACAACGGAAGAAGTAATAGAAAAATTGCATGCCAAAACAATGAATTTAAAAGTACACATAAAATTTTAAATTTTTGAATTTTAACTTGTGATTTTTATATTAATTGATAGAAAAGGTCAAAATGAAATATGAACTATTTTGTAGAGCATCATAACATGCCCAATATTTATTGAACAAAAAAGAGCATATTTAATAAAATAAATGCATACTAAAGTATTCAAATAAAATCCACTATTATTTTCAAAACTCGAATGATAATATTTATCATAAGAAATCCATCTTGAGGACATACTCCCACAAGCTAAAGGGACACACTTGAAATCATTTTGCGGCCATTTTCATTGGACATAATTAACAACTACGCTCTTCTTCCAGGGTATATGGTTTATTAAGCCTTCTGAATTCTTTTGCTTGAGGCAGTAGTATGATTATGATCTTTTAGTTGGGAGATCTAATTTTGGCCTCCTGACATGGACACTATTATTATTATCATTATTATTATTATTATTATTTTTAAAAAAATTTTACGTATGCTCTCTCATCATTCTTGTTTTGGCCTTTTGCTTCTGCTCTCTTTGTCCCCAACAATTTCTTTTTAATTCCATGCAAATCTTTATTTTCGACTTGGGTATGATATACATGATGTTCTGAATAAGATATTTGCTATGTTTTGATGTGAGTACTGATATGTATCTACAATGGCTTATATTAACCCCAAGAACATAATGAGATAATTATAGCAGTGTCTTTTTATTTGCACTATAATTTAGATTCACTTAACATGTTGTTCTAATCCATGTTGATGTTATGAGTTAAACGTCTAATAATGATAGGTAGTAGAAGAGGTTAATTCCATTATTTTATGATTGTTGATAGTGTTATATTTATTATGAAGTAGTTTTACAATTTTGTATATCAATATTTTAGAAGTAATGTTCAATTGAAGGGCAAAATAGCCATTTAGCTTTATATGTTCATTTTTATCTTTTAATTTTGAATTAGGATATTCACATTTATAGTATAGTATGATGTATTATTTGCGTATAAAATTTTTACACCATCAAGTCAAGTTAATTAATTAGTTACAGCAACAGGTAAATCTTCGTAACAAGCCTGATACGATGACTTAAAAATTCGAGTAATAACCTGCTGAGTTAAATTGATCTAATGGTCTAATTTCTTTTACACTGTTAGTCCTATAACTTAAACTAAATGCATGCAGAACTTTGAAACCTCTATCTTAGATTGGAGTTACGATTTTTTGTCATTAAGAGTCAACAAAATTAGATGAGTACTTAACTTCTTTTATTGAAAAATAATGATTAGTATCATGAATATCAGCAACAATGTATGAAAATCATATGTGATACATATATCAAAAATAAAAAATTCAACAAAAACTACTAATATGAGAAGTGAAAAACAGACATGAGAGTATTCTCTCTCACACACACACAAAGTGCACCCATATTCTTACAACCGTTATATTGCAAACACATAAATATGCCCTAAATGTACAGAAACAGAAGTATACGCACATCTTAATATCATAGCAACAAATTTAAGTTTATGAGTTTTGAGTATGCAATTAACTCATAGATCATTTTAATAATTGAGTTCGAAATTATAGATTTATATACGTTTAATAAATTTTCTAATGCAAATATATAGTCTAAATAAAAGCTACTGGTTCATCGTAATAATCTACCTCCATTCCGCCCCTGCTTAATATGCATGTGGGCATATACTGATAAATGCACATGAGCTCGTAATATGACGAAAATTAAAAGAGAGAGAGATGGACATACATCAGGAGTGCTTCGAGGATAATGAATAGAACCAGAAAACAACATCTTCCTTTGCCCATCTATTATTAACGATCTTCCGTCATAACTCACACTTGCTCCGCCGGCAGCCACCGCTCCCGCCATCACCAACACCGCCGCTGCCAACCAATTCCGCCATAGCCACCGCATTCTCATCGCGCGCTTATTTTCCACCATGCAATATGATAAACACACACACAAATTAAAGTCTCTCTCTCTCTAAAGTCTAACCCAAAGAAAAAAAGAATTTATTGTGTAAAAAAATTACTCCACTAGTTATTCTTGGAAGCAAAGACTGATATTGAACAAAGAAATGGAGAGGTAGATTTTATTGAGAAGGCAAGATAGGAGGAAGATGTTCTTACTAAGTAAATGATGCAAGATATCTTGTCTTCAAGTATGACATAATTATAAACGGTGACCTGTCTGTTAGTAGTTTATATCTCTTAAAAAGGAAATTATTTGTAATTTTTGTGAAAAAATAAACTAAGTGATACTCTTTCCATTTCGATCATGCCATAATATATAAAAATGTATTATTTTTTAAAATTAACGTAAATTATAAATGAACTAGTAAGTATATATGTTATGATTATAATAAGAAATTAAATTTTTTTAAAGATATTAAGCGGAGAAAAATTTAAGGGGAGGAGAAGAAGGAGATGACTAAGAAAGAAGAAAGAGAAATGGACGGCAAAAGAATATAGGATGTAATTTTACGTGAAAAAAAAAACAAGTTGGACGGGTTTTTTTAGTGTGATGAGTTAACAAGGAAAAGATCTTCGTGACTCAACTCCAAACGTCATGGCAACAACATTTATACCTTTTCTATCTTCCTTTTTTTGTTTTTGAAAAATTATTTTTAATTATTTTTTCTGTTGAATTACGTAAACCACTTTGTCTAATATATATATTTTCAGATACACTTTTTCCTGGATCAAGACATGGAAAAGTTTGCAAATAGATAGTATCGAGACATACACAGATTTTTGTATTTTGTTGCATAATGTGAATCTCTCCATCCAAAAAAATGAAGCTTAGCTTATTCAAAGAGAAAATACTTTTATTAATTTAATTGTTTACCCGAAAAATTAGATAGAGTTAAATTTGTGTATGGTTCTAAGGATATGTGATATAATTTGATACAAATCGTATAGAGAAATAGAAATTCGTGTATTCTTGACTATGAGAATGAGAATAGTGAGAAGAAAAATGAATAAGATAAAGGGAAATAAACACAAGGGGATATCTTTCAATGCGAGAAGAAATCTTTTGTTCCCCCCTTTATAGTAGAGGGATCCTACTTCATATACAATAATAAAAAATACGTAGTGGAGAGCCCATGATGTATTGTCTATTCCCTACTTCCCGCCAGGATTCTCTCCCTTAGTGCGGCTGTAACGGCCTTGTCTGTGAGCTTCGATACTGACTCGAACTCGATATCTGGTCGAGCCATTGGCCCTGACTCGAGCTCGATCCTGACTCGGAGTCTTGATATTCGGGGTGGGTGTTGGTCGGTCTGTGCATCTCCGACAACCTTTTGCCTCGTGGTTCGATTTGGTCATGGGCCCGATAATGATACCGAACTAATCCTTGATCGGACTTTGAGCTCGAATCCTGAAGCCCCTTTCTTCGGACCTCGACCTGACCTTACATAGATACCTTTCGATCGAAGTATTGCCGTCTCGATCAGTCCGTACGACTGGCTCGATCGGTTCTGACCGTACACAGATAGTCCCCTCGTTTCTCGGAAAAGGATGTGGCAAGAAACGATATGATTTTCCAACAGCTCGATCAGATATATACTGACGTTTACATCGATCTCGACCATGACGTATGTGATAGTTGTCCCATCGGTTCGGTTTTACCAAGGCATTTAATGTGTCAGACGGTGGTCGG